GAATGTTATGGGAAATCAGTGCATTGTAATTTGCCTCTCCTCTTCCCCCTCCTGCTTACTGTGACTGAATGTGACTCAGCTAAGATACTGAATCCTTTGCTCCCCAACCCAGTACTCTCCAGATATGAAGATACACTCCCAATATTTTAAATACCATGTGAAGGTAAAGCATATGGTCTGCCAAAATGAAAAAAATTTGAGAAACCTAAATGTTCTCAGTATTTTGTGCATATCTTTGTAAAGTTCGCTTTATACTATACCTTAACAAGAAAATTCTAGCAACCTAAAACTTGGTGGAAAAAATAGCCCCATTGTACAAACTCTATAATGTGCTTTGAGTTATTATTAATATAGATTACATGGTCGTATTGTATCTGATATGTTCTGTGTATTTCTAAATTTTTCTTTTACTAAAGAGAGCACTTCTTAATTTTATCAACATAGTTATTTTTCATTAGTATGCAATGATAAAAAGCAAAAACCCAAATGCATTGGGCAATTCTTATTGATAACTGGACCAAGTTGATTTGAAAGACAAGAGTTGCTATTGTGGAGAACTTGGAATGACAGTGGATTTTTTCCCCATTAATTTGGTAGGCTTTATAGCATGCCGTTACAGCATGCATAGAGATCTTCACTTCATAATGATTAGCTGATTCAGTTAGCTGACCAGTTGTTTTTTGTGTGAGTTATTCTGAAGCAATATAGTTTACCAAACTGAATATGGACATTTGATCAGGGAGACCAAACTTAAGATCCAGTTCAATTATGAATGCAACTGAGTGGACTGTGACGTCAATGCAGTCTTAGTCTTGGCTCTTAAATGGGACTAGAACTGACTTAATACGGTAAGTATCAGAACACCTGTCTCATCACAATGCCAGCAGTGGCTTTTGTGTCCTCAGTTAATCCAACAGTTGTTTCCCCTGACATCTTGACTTCACCAAATCAGAATCAGTCTGGGTGGGGAAGTTTTTCAGGCTTCCATGAAAATAGCAGGAAGTAGATAACGCATCATATGGTAGCCAGTCTGACCATATGCATGACATGCTTTGTTACAAATAATGGAAAGTGGCATCTTCAACAGCATCTATGCATATTTCAATTTAAAATAAATAAAAGTTGTTTAAAAAAATGCAAAATAGAACTTTTCTTCACTTACCTGAATATGTTTGGGGTTATTAATCTCCAACTCTCCACATTCCTATCCCCCCTTTTCCATACTGTTTTCAACAAGGTAAAAAGGGATTTATGTCTATGTTTTAAAAAAATCAATACACTTTTTTGCTTTCCAATATTTTATGTTATTTTATTTTGTTACAAATCATTGAGGTATCTTGCAGAATGAAAGTTCAAATCCCCCAACACTCATGAAATTCCATGGATGGCCTTCTCTTTCTCTCTATTTCCTCACAAAACATTTAACATCAGAATGGAATCGCCTCCCACATATATCTCAATACTGTTCCTTTTTCAATGCCTTATATATGCTTTAGATTAGATTAATACAGTGAGTAGTGGTAAAGAAGAGAGCAAGAAAAGGCTTCATTATAAACTAGAGACAAAAGGACAGACTGCAATCAACTGCTAGCCTATTCAATCAGTGGTTTATTATTATTATACCTGCCACAGGTCAGTCAGATATTTAGACTAGATTTGTCATTTTTATCCATCTATGTTGGAATAAATAGTTCTGTTTTTCAAATAAAACAAACATCCATGTTTTAAATTCCTCAAATGTTCTGGACATGGTGAAATATGCTTAATTTGGAGAGAAAAATACAACAAAAATTTGATGGCACTCTTCTAATATTTTAAAGATTATCATTTAGAAGGCAGCAATTTTTTGACTCGGTTGCCATAAAAAGGGTATATTTTTAGTTGCACATTAGAAATACATTGTTCTATTTAAAATAGGTAAAAATGAAACAAATTATTTAGAAGATTGATGGTCAGAGACTGAGCAACCTAAAAAGTATTCTTGAATATTTTGGCATTATGCCAAAATTTCGACTATATGCTTTACAGGTATTTGTCTATTTATGGTGCATGCATGCATTCTACATAGAATAATTACTATTCAGTTAGGCATCTCAACCAATCACACTAAATGCACACAGCGAATTCAGATCACATTGGGAATCTTTTTCATCCTTTCTACTTTGTAACCACAACATAACAAAGAAAATATATAACATAAGCAATAGTCTGGCTACAAAATCACTTGCAAATTTTTGACAAAACCATTTTTTGTTGTTTGTCCATCATATATTATATGTTCAAAAGTTAGAAGACACCATGTACTGACAAGTTTGTGTATGTGAATATATGTAAAACTTGTCATACGCTACACCAAATACAAAAGTTCTAAAACAGTCAATCTCTGGAAAATAGACAGTTCAGTAACATTGTCATTAAGGCAATTATACTTAGGAACTAGATAGGACATTGATCAAAGCAAAACTATAAGTGTACATAAAGGCTATAGTCCTTCAAAGTGAACTCTCCAAATATTTTATTAGAACAATACTAACAATCACTAGGAGAGTAAAAATATGCAATATCCTGTCACTAGAAGAGTAAAATGCCTGAAAAAGTAAGCAGAATTGGTAAGAATAGATGCCCAGAATTCAGTAATGACCTATTGGTTGCTCCACTTTCAATAGAAATGTTTATTTTCCCAGGACAGAGAAGATAGACAACATGAGCATCTTAGTTACACATCATTAATCACCATTTGCTACACTGAATTTATAAGAAATGCTATGCTTCAGTTTTCAAAAACCCAAAGGCAGCAAAAGCAGTGGCCCTCCATTCTTTCTAGCATATGTCATGCCCAAGATACAGCCTCAGGACAGTGAGTCAGTCATCTAGGATGGCTTTGGATTCAGTGTTTATCTGCACCTGCTGCCTGGTCAGCTGTTATACAGCTCTCTTCTATGTTGGCTATAGAAGAAATGGCAAATGTAACACAACTGTATTTATTTCAAATACAGAAGCAAGCATATTTTAAGTCAGGAAGTGGCTTGCAGAATTTGCATGACCAATGGCATGCAACTATCGTATACTTTTTAAAGAATGTTTACTGCCAAGGGGACAGCATGCACCAGATACTTGTTTCTGTTTACAGCAACAATTTACAAAATATTATTCAATATTTGCACAAATGTCAGATCTTCAATTGGTAGCAAACAATAACACTTAGTATTGTGACATTGATTTTTATTAATTGAGGATCTTGGACAAATCTTTGCAAAGGTAGCAAGTAATCTGTAAGATTCAGAAGAATGAATCAAAGATATAAACAAGATGAAAGACACACATATCTAACTACACTTGTAGGTTCAGTGTTTCAGAAAAAAAATAGAACTCCTTGAAATGAATGATTATCTAAAACACACTATTAGCTAAAAGCTAGGTATGGACTAATTTGTTGCACACATGATGGACTACCAGAGAAAGCTATTCTAATCTAGTCAAACAGTTTTCTTTTTGGTTTATAGTAACCTTTTTCTTCTTCTTCAAAAAAAAAAGGACACTGCAGGACCAGTAGGAGACTACATAGTTTCAATGCCAAAATGCCACAGGATTTCCTAAAAACTATCACTGTGGTAAAGAAGTACCAGTAATAAAAATTCAGGAAGAAAAGGAAGTTTACAAAAAATACAAAGGACACCTGCTTAATATGAAGGTCCCATACCTAACAAAGCACCAGTATTAGTAATATTAAGATTTCTTCTCCCTTTGCTGATAAAAGAAGATGTGGAAATAAGAGAAAGTCCAAGACCAAACAAGGTCTGATGTAATAGATTGAATTCAACAGAGAAAATAACCATCCTTCCATTCTCTGGCACCCCTCACCTTCCTAAAAGCTATCCACTCCCCCCATTTAAGTTTAGGTCTATTTGAAACAGAGATTTAAGGATTGAGGGGTGGAAATAGCTTGAGAATAGCTGATATTCTCAAGAGCAAGTTGTTTCTAATTAAAAAGATGGAGGAAAGGAAAAGCTAGATTTATTATACTACACTTAATTTCTGGCAGTCTTGTCCTCTACCTAAGAGACACCCAGAGTTGCTAAAAGCTTCCTTAAGAATTCCCATAGCAACCTGGGTGATTAGGGTGGCTCATGTCACCATCAAATGATGTTGCTAATTGCAGCCAAATGGGAGTTAAATTCGAGATACACGAACAAGTATACATTAGCAACTGATAATCAATTCAAAAAATGAAGAATTAACTATTTCCATTACAGAGGATTTAAAGGCCATTGCTAAGTTACTAGACACAAAGATTCTGAACAATATCGTAAGTTATATAAAACAATCCAATCTGTGCATGTTTCTCAGCCAACTTTTGGGCTGTCTTAAATTCAGGTGAATTGGTCTGCATATTCAAAGAAGTTCATATTGTGAAATATTTTAAAATAAAAATTTCAAGGAGATTTTGAAACAGATATCGAATTCTAGAATGCTAGAAGTATTCCACTAAAGCTACTTCTGGATGGTCAACATTTGTGTGCAATCTAGGGTTAGCAAAACCAGCTCACATTGGCAAGGATTACACTTTGTGGCTCAAAATGATCAATGAGGACTTTCTCTTATTTCAATTTGGTTTTTTTTTTTAAAAAAAACCTTTTCCATATTAGCCATGCAAGGCTGATAAAGACACCTGTGTGCAAACAGTATCTTAAGTTGCAATCAATTGTACTTATTTGAAGCAAAAATATGTTTAGAATATGTATACTCTGTAATACAAAATGAGAAATGTAACACCCTGCTTCCTGCCTTTAAATGTATTAAAGGTAAAAAAAACTTTTTTTTATTTTATTTTGCTGCTCAGCCAAGTGGCATGTTACTATTTCTACATCTATTATAGCTACAAAGTAGACTATTTTCTGTCTAAGGCACTTAGATGTCCCAAGTTTTGTGGTTTTAATTATTTGGTTTTCTCTAGGTTCTTATTCAACTCTACTGGCTTTATTTTTAAAAAATGATAAAAGTCATTGGTAAAGACATATTGCCATACATCCTGAGATAGGTGACTAATGTGAAAATGTACAGTAGCATATGCTTATAAAATATCCAAATAAAGAAGAGCTTTGTTGTAACTATGGACAGTCTGTGTATCTACAACCACAAGAAGACCAATGATTGCAGCTGGAGAAAGGCCTCCCATTTCAGTCACAAAGGGAAGCCAATATGACTGCTAAACCGTAACAAAAATGGCAGAGAAGACATATTTCCTGCATGGGACGAGCAAAGGGACTGCATGTTCTTGATTTGGGGAAGGTGAGGAGAAGAAGGCTTCAGTGGGGGGGTGGGGTTTCCTTATTGCTTATCAACAGCCCCTTGTTCAGCAGAACTTTCCTTGTTGCTGGTCTGTGCATGCCAAGGGGTTTCTTTAAAAACAAACCAGCAATTTCCAGCCCAGAGTATAAAGTTGACAAAACCAAACAGCTGAGGAAGAAAATGAGAGGTGTATAGTTAATACAAAGCAGTTATTGGTGAAGGCTGAGCACTTATATAAAGTCAGTTGAGTACTTTTTAATGCCCCCTTGTTCAGATTTTCACAATAATTAAAGAACAGAAAAACAACCATCTTCCACTGTTTTACACATGTTCATGCACAGTAGAAATACTTTCTCATACTTATTTTTGTGAGATCCAAAGTCACAGACGAACATAATTTTGAAATCGGTCTGTCCGTTATGAAATTATGCTGCCTTGACTGGATATTCTATTTGTCTGTTCTTTATCCACTGAACAATCAAATCAGTAATACTGTAACCTAAGCAGAAAATAATGAAATGAGAGGAAGGGCTAATATTCCTTATATGTGAATTTCAATAATAATGATTGTATTCAGTAGAACATAAACCCCACCCAGTTTGGAGTCAGGGTATCTTTCAGTGGTGGGATTCAATTTTTTTTTACTACCAGTTCTGTGGCCGTGGCTTGGTGGGCATGGCAGTGGAAGGATACTGTAAAATCTCCAGTCAGAGGTGGTATTTGCTGGTTCTCTGAACTACTCAAAATATCCACTACAGGTTCTCCAGAACTGGTCAGAACCTGCTGAATACCACCTCTGGTATCTTTCTATGTGAATCTTACAATAAGCAGATAAAGTCCTCTCTTTTCCTCCTACTTTGGGGTGTGTGTGTGTAGTAGTGTATTTTAAATCCTTCCCAAGGAATATATATATATTCAGAAATGTACCTCTTCCAAGTAACATTTTTGCTGTTGTTTTTATTAGGCATGTTTGTATTGATGGCTAACGTTCTACAAATAATTTATATTGCCTGACTTTTATTTTAAACCCACTGCTGTTTTTCAATATTTCCTTTTAAATGTTAAACAATCATGTTTTAAACTGTAATATTTTAGATATACTTCTTGTATTTGTATACTTATGCTGTTCTTCGTTCTTCTTTAATCACCATGATTTGCCTTTCTCTTGATTAGCAGCTGCTTGTTGAGCAAACTTAAATGGAAGTTTCTGTTTGCAAAAATGATGTGTTTGCTCAGCCTCTTTCATGACATAATTTCAGAGTTACTGCAGAAGACTTAAAAGACTAGCCCTGTTGGTTTTCGGAATGGCTTTGATTTAGTAAAAGAAATGGAATGGTACTATAGTACAGCTGTACTCTACATGCTCGCCCTCCCAATCATTATATTACTTCCAAGCAACTCTTACCACAGAGATGTTGGCCAAACCCATAGAAGGAGTGGCCCCAGCATTGCACACTGCATTTTTGAATTGACATACTGACATGGCTGCAATAAGGCTGGAAGGCCGTGTAGCTCCTTTCACATCTGATAGACCTTTGCCCCAAGCTGAAAATGCCACCAGCCAAAAGAAGGTAAATGAGACAGACACACAGAAGTCCTGAATGAAGGGGGAAAGAGAGAGAGAAAGAGTCACGGTTAATATACTCCATGACAGTAGCTCTATTCTGCTACATCCTTTCATCCAAAATACTCATGGCCAAATGGGGCAGACCATTTATTTTAATCAGGCATGCTTGTTATTTCACACTGTTTGTCAGCTAATAATCACTCCACTGCATAGTAAGGTATACATGCTGCACCTAGTCATATTATAGTTTGTTTGCTTCTGCCTCAACCATTACTGGTTTATAAACCAACTGTGACTTATTCAACAAATCACGGATAAGCAAATCCAAACTAACCACATCACATGAATCAGATGATAATACTGTTGCATAGATTGATTCTTCTTGTGCTAGTACTCCAAGGTCAACAAAAATGCAAAACAAAGAAGATAGGACTTCCAAATTGGATGCAAGTAGTCCTCCCTTAACAACCACAATGGGGACTGAAATCTCAAACATTTAGTGAAGTTGTTGTTTAAGCAAGTCATCCCATGATCTAAAGACCTGGTTTTTCTCTGGGGACTGAATGAACGAGTTCCACACTGGAAGGGACTGCTGGATTGATGGCAGGCTCCACATCCCCCTCCACCTTGCTCTCTGTTTTCCCATTCACCTTTCTGGTTATCAGATTAATGTTTTATTCTTGTTGTTTTCCTTTGTCATTGTTTATTTCAGGGGTCTCCAATCTTGGCAACTTTAAGCCTGTTGACTTAACTCCCAGAATTCTTGGAGTTGAAGTCACCAGGCTTAAAGTTGCCAAGGTTGGAGACCCCTGGTTTATTTCATTGTTCTATTATTTCACTTTTATTCTGTCTGCACCCATTCCTTTTCTCCCTTTTTATTATTGTAAGCCACCTTGAGTAGCCCCATGGCAAGACAGGCAGCAAATAATTTAACAAATAAATAAAACAACTGCTTCATTCAACCATTTTGGCACACTCAGTTGTGGCAATTAAGCAATCTTATGGTTGTTAAGTGGATAAAGTCCTAGTTAAGGAGCCTAGGGTACCTTGGGACTGGGAAAGACTCTAGGAGATCCATTGTAGGCTCTGCGCAAATGTATCTTCACTTGAAATTTCAGCCTCTGAGCAGAAAGATATTCATATGCAACCTGCACCAAGCCTCCTAGGCCCTTTTCCCTACCTTCCTGAGGCACCTATACCCCTTGCCTTACCGTGCTTCCTCTCCAGTCAGTAGCTGAAAATCCTGCTTGGATTTTGGCTCCCCTCTTGTCTTTGGGGTTGGGTGAAAGAGCTCCCTGCTAAAGGATTTCAGCTCCACGCAAGCAGGCATGAAGGATTTCAGCTCCATGCAAGCAGGCTCTTTCAACAAACCCCAGAGGGGAGAGGGAGTTTTAGCAGGTGGTAGCAGCTTGAAACTTTTCCTGCTATCTTCCCCATTGAAGATTGCAAATGTTGAATACATTATTGAGTAGCACTTGGCAACTGTGAACGTAAATGTCAGTGGTGGTATTCAAATTTTTTTACTACCGGTTCTGTGGGCGTGGCTTGGTGGGTGTGGCAGGGGAAGGATACTGTAAAATCTCCACTCAGAGGTGGTATTTGCTGGATCTCCAAACTACTCAAAATTTCCGCTACCGGTTCTCCAGAACCAGTGAGAACCTGCTGAATACCACCTCTGGTAAATGTGAACAGGTTGCCAATCAACCAGATTGCAATTATGTGACCATGTATATGTGTGTGTGTGTGATGTTTTGCAATGAGGCCAATGTTCATTCGAACCCTGGTTAAACAAGGACTACCTGTAAACATACATAGTGGAGCACTGTACCCTTTTTCTCAGGTTTCATATTCAGAAATGATCATTTTTTTAATGGAGCTTGCTCTAAATTAGGCTTGTCCAACCCGCGGCCCACGGGCCGCATGCGGCCCAGGTCGCCTCGTAATGCGGCCCAGTGCCCACCCCAACCTTCGTGCCAGAGCCAGCGAGGAGGAGGAGGAGAGGCAGACGCGAGGCGGGGCGAGGCGAGCAAGCAGCAAGAGAAAAGGCGGGTGCCGTCAGAGCGCCACCTCCTGCTGTTGCCGCCGCCGGCACCGCCGCCGCTTCTTCCCCCGCCACCGCTTCTTCCCCCGCCACCGCTGCTGCCCCCGCCGCCGCTTCTGCCCCCGCCGCTGCTTCTGCCCCCGCCACTTCTTCCCCCGCCACCGCCGCCGCTTCTGCCCCCGCCGCCACTTCTTCCCCCGCCACCGCTGCCGCTTCTGCCCCCGCTGCCGCCGCTTCTTCCCCCGCCACCGCTGCTGCTTCTGCCCCCGCTGCCACTGCCCCCGTGGCGGGGGAAGAAGCGGCGGCAGGGGAAGAAGCGGCGGCAGAAGCAGTGGCGGGGGAAGAAGCGGCGGCGGGGGCAGAAGCGGCGGCGGTGGGGGAAGAAGCGGCGGCGGGGGAAGAAGCAGCGGCGGCAGTGGGGGCAGAAGCGGCGGGAGGGGCAGCGGGGGCAGGGGCGGTGTTGGGGTAGAAGCAGCAGCGGTAGCGGGGGAAGGCTTCTGCCCCCGCCGCTGCTGTCGCTGCTTCTGCCTTCCAGTCCTGCCTCATCCAGCCAGGCCATTTGCAGGAGGAGAGGTAGGCGTGAGGCGGGTGAGCTTTCTCCCCCCCCCCCGCAAAATTTGGCCGGAATATAAACTGTGATAAAAAAAACTGTGATAAAAAAAACTGTGATAAAAAAACGTGATAAAAAATAATTTTTAATAAATAATTAATAATAAATAATAAAAACATCTCACTAACTTCATTTCCAAATAAATTTAATATGTTAACTATGTTTTCTATGGTTTTTTGGGATGATCAGGTATCGTTACTGTTATTTTATTTTATGTGTGGCCCAAACCAAATTTTCATCTTCTAATGTGGCCCAGGGAAGGTGAAAGGTTGGACACCCCTGCTCTAAATGAACTGTGTTTGTATAGAATTGGTTCTGTGATGTAGGACTTGAAATCTAAAGAACTTGAAAACCAAACTTGAGATCTTACCGCAAAAGGTAGCTTCTTATTTTCCTTATAGAGGGAGTGAAATCGTAGATATACTGCAAGAGCTGCCATAGTATATAGAAAAGTAAAAACCCCCAAGGTCACGAAGAATTCAGCTGGTGCAGAAAAGTCTCCCATGAGATGCAGCATTCTTTTAGAAGTTGATCCTTCGATACAATCTGGCATATCAAATGGGATTTTATACAACCTGGTCAAATTGAAAGCGAAAGCAAGTGAAATAGCTTAAATGTAATTTGAGTACTTAGTACAGAAGAATTAGGCTACAGGGTATCTCTAACATCTAGAAAACTGTATGGAGGAAATACCATATATATTTGCCTCATTCCCATCTTCGTTAAAATGTATTTTGCAGGTTTTAAACAGTTTTCTTCGAGACAAAAATGAAAAGTGCCAAGCAGCAATTTTTTAAAAACAGTTGTCTGAAACAAACACCTGAACAGCACAGTTTGGCTCAAGATTTTATGAGACTGCCTCGTGACCTATCCAGTCCTGTTTAGTGTACATCCATTTATGTCTTTATGATAAATCTTGATAAATTTTCTTGCCAATAACAAACACTAATAAAATACTTTGGCAGATTCTCTCAGACCCTATACCAATTTTAATAAATGTGAATTTAAAAAGTAGCTAAACCTTCTTTGGAAAAGCTTATCAGAATTAATGGGTTAAAGAGATGATACTTTAAAATTTTCAATTTATATGCGGAGAAACCCTTTTGGATTAAGCAATGTTATGAAAACATATGTGTAAAAATATTTTTATAAAGGTATGAGTTAGGAAAAAATACAGCTAAATCTAGTTTCTCAGTGCACCTTTATAACTTTCTGTACTTGCAAGCTCTCCTTGCTTACAACACAGCCATGTATCACATCACAGACCGCCTTATTCTATTTCCATATTATTTTTAGTGTGACTCATATTGAACATGCATCTTGGAAAAAATGTAAAGGAAAAGAATTTATTTGAGATTTCCCTGTTGCAAACCATAATTTATGGGTTTATTGTAATGCTAGTTTAACAATTGACAGTGCATATACAGAATTTCCTGCAATGAAAATACAACTATGAGAGAAGAGGTTTATATCCTTGGCAACCATGCCTAACATAATTCTGAATTCAAGAGACAGAAAGGCCTCGAAGGATGGGGAGGGAGGAATCTATTCCACCTAAAATGTTTTTCAACCCATATACAATTCATTAAGATACTATATTTTGTTTTGAACTGTCACTGCCAGTCCCACAACAACCCTTCCAATTTGTTCCCCTTCTTGTCAAAGGCATTTTAAAATACTTCACAGACATGCCTCTATTTATAGCTATCAGATGTTGTCAGGGAGGGAAAGATGCACACAGATATAACCATGTTAGATCTTTCATGCATTGATTTTATTCCAACTTAGATCTTGTTTCTGCTTATCCAAAAGCCTTATGGTGGCATCTCCACGTAATGGAGAAAGTTTTTGTTGTGCTGATTTGTGCTCCACAAAAATATAACCTTCTATCTGATCTGGCATACCAAAAAGAAATTTAGGATATTATGTATAATCCAATGCTGCCTCTTGTTTTTAGTAATCGCACTGATCACCAAGGCCACCAAATCTTAGATCACTAAGATTTAGATAAAGAACTGCTGATATATTTTTTTTTGTATATATTTGAGTTTTCACAAAGAGGAAAAAGAATACAAATAAAACATCTTTTTTGAAAGTAGCGTAATCCCGGGTTAGATTTCTTCGTACAGACACATATTCAGGTTCATGCTCATTTTTATGTTCTATTCCATATCTTATTACTATTTTACATTTTCTGCATAGCTTCTCCCCTCTTTTAATTTTCTCAATTTTATTTTAATTATCTCATCTCAATTCAAATCATTGTATTTATATTTTTTGTCTGTCCTATTTCAATTATCTATTACCTTTTCTCATTAAACAAAATTTCCCCTGTAGTTACTGATTGGAGTATGACGCCTTTATATCTTTTCCCTAAAGTTGTAACATTCAATATAATACATAACTTCCATTCGGATTCTGCTTGGTACATTCTTAAAATACACACTGTATTCTTAAAAAAAGAAAAAAATTATAAATGTATATAATTAAAACACTCCATTCCAATTCAATTCTATCAATATTAATATTCATTAAAGTCTTAACATCTTTAACGTTAGTTTTCAATTAAATATCATACTTCTATGGGAACAATTATAAACTTTCCATAGTTAATTCCCCCCCTTTACTTATATTTTATAAAACATTAACTAATTAAAATGTTCCCGTTCCTTCCTAATTCAATTTTCTCATTAATTTTATTTCACTTATTTTATTCACAAACATTTCACTAAATTACACTATTTTATCCCTCATTTTAATCATATGTTGTTTCCAATTTTCTAAAGTTATTTCTATTACTAACATAACAATACAATCTTATGTACCTTTACAGAATCCTTTTTTCAGTTAGACTTTCACCCATTATCCCTAAATAGGTCCTGTTTCTCTATATCTTGCTCCAGTCCTTTGTAACTTCTTTTCCTTTCCTTCTTCCCTCTCTTCTTCTCTGTCCCCCTTTTACCCCCTTGTCTCTCTACCTCTGTTTCTCTCTTCTGTATTCCCCTTTTCTGTTGCTTTCCAGTATTATACTTATTTTTCGAATTATTTTTCTTTTCTTTGGTTGTTTTTTTAAGTCTTAAATTTTCCATTCTCTTTTCCCCACTTTCCTTTTTCTTCCCCACATAAAATTGCTTGTTCATTAAAGATGGCTTCTTCTTTGTCCCAGTCTTCTTGTTTTGCAGTCTTTTCTTATTGTTTCTCATAGTTCCAAATCTCCATTTCTAAGAATTGAAAAATGAAGCCAAAAGAACCCTTCCCTTCTTGTGTATCTTCTTTGTACTTTTTAAGTTCCATTTTTAATTCATCCAGAAGTGGTGCCATTGTATAAATTTTTAAACAACTGCCCGATTGATTTTAGTCATTCAAATATAATAACCAAGAATCCAATGATCACGAAATAATCCAAATACACGCAAGCTGTTTCTTTTTTGCTCTTTTTTTTTTCACTTTCTCTTCCTGGGGTTACTATTTAGTTGCAAAGTTTCAGTTAAAATGTATCTTTTAGAAGTCTTGTTGAAGTTTTACTGTAGATTCTTTTTAATTCCAGGCAGTCTCCTCCCTCTTCCAGATCCTGCCCTTATTCTTTTTTTCTCCCTTCCTGCTTATGAAAAAGAAAATTTTTAATGTCCAGAAATCTTTATTATCCCTTTGGCATTTTGTTTTATTTTCAGCTTAATTGCCAATTGATGTCAACGTGGATTTTTCCGATTTCTTATTTAAGTCTCTTAGTTGTCAGTATAGGGAAGGAGAGAGAAGAAAAAAAAAGCCAAACCTTTCCCTTTTCATTTTCCTTCACTGCTTCTGACTCTTCTTTGGGAGCGATGTTATTTTTTGTAAGTTTAAATTCCAGGGTACATTAGTTGTTGCTTTTACAATTTAACCCGGTCAGCCAAAACTTTCACTTCTTATCTTCCTCCTGCACATTCTTTTCCGGTTGAGTTCTCCTTTGTGGTGGCCATTTCTGACCATCGCTACAAATGCCTTTGAGAAAGGGAGTAATGGCCAGCTGATGAGGAGAGATGCGGCTCTCCTCAACCCTGCTGGCGGTCTCTCCCCTCTTCACCACCTCTATGGGGTGGCTTAGCCCCGAAACCAGCTGGCTCGGGGCGCTCCAGCGGTGAGCCCAGACAGAAACCGCACACGATCGCGGATTTCTGTCTGTCGCCGAAGCCCTTCAAACCAGAACCAGAACTGCTGATTTTTTTTTACTGGTTTATATGACTCTCAATAAATGACAGCTGTATCAGATCAGCTGCTGCTTTTAAGTTTGTAGCAAAAATATTCCTTTTCCTCTCAAAGCAAAATCAGAGTTTTCAGAATGCTTTATTGTATTTCTGGCTACACAGCAGTTTCCTACACAGCAGTTTCCTACACAGCTAGTAACCTGCTATAGCAACACTCATCTGGAAGTGAGAGGAAAGAAGAAAGGGAAACAACAATTCAGCAATGTTGTACCATAATCATTATTTTAATTTAATTCAGATGATACAATTTTGCTACACTATGATCCGCCAATGTTAATTCACAGAGTACAGCCATGTGCATAAAGTGCATAAATTCAATTGACAACTGCTAAACTCCTCAATGAAAATTGCCCTCGGGAAGTGGTGCTCTCAAAGTTTTAGATGATATTATTTTTATCCAACTCTCCCCCTCATATCATTTGAAATACAATTTAATATAATTGAAACCACAGCGGGGGTGTGGCGGAAAGGAATCAAACTACTCATATCAACATGCTGAAATACAAATGCAAGGCAGCTGGGACCTCCACCTGCCAATCTTGGAGATAATGCCAATCTGGAAGCAAGGTACCCAGCTGGAAACAGAATTCTCACCTCATTTGGTTGTCTCTAACCAAGATATTTCAGACATGAGCCCTTTTTAAATAGATGCAGTGATATAAGCTGGTGGTAATGCTTGTCTTAATAGTTCTGTACTGAGAATAAACTCCTACTGGAGATTCTGATGTCTTGGGAGAAAAGAGGCTTCGTTTCCAGCTGTCAGAATGGAACAGATATATCCCCAAACAAAATAATGGATGGTATACTTCTAGATATAATGGCCCAGAAAATAATACATTTGGGTTAACCTCTTCACCTACAAAGTTTTCTGAAAATCACAGTAGCTCCTCTTCCTGCAGGTCAATGCATTTTCTAATTCACTGTTAAGTGTTATGTAACAAGAATTTTCTCACGTGGGAATATTCCAATATATGGCATGTAGCTTATTTATACTATATAAGTCATTGAATCTTTTTTTCAAATATCAAAGATCCAATAGCACTGTGTCCGCACAGTGGGTCAGAAGTGGTTTCTCTTGTGGCATGCATACACTAGTTTCTTGGATGAATTATATTTTCCTGCACGAACAGTCTTAAAATCTCTGAACAACTGGAAAAAAGAAAAGGGATTCAGAGTCTTATAAAATCTGCTCTGTGCAATCAAGGCATTGAGTAGTAATACTCTATGCTGCATGATGAATCACTTTGAAAACTAAAAGAATTCTCAAAGTGATCTGAGCAATTGGAGGCATTAAAAAAACAAACCCAAAAGGAACAAAAAAATTTTTTTAGCACATCCAAGCTAACATACTTAAGTGAGATTTCTGAATGTCATATTATGCAAAGCAGTGTCTGGATGTTGCTGTAATAATGCTACAATTCTTCCACTGCTTAATGCAATTTATTTTAAATCAGTAGTTAAGAGATTTAAAGCAACTCTAGAGGAATAGTTTGAAAAATAGCCTGTGATATTGAGCGATTCTAGTTAAAAAATTACTTGTCACTGAAAAAGATTTAAGGACATCTTCATAAGAAGAACTCTAAGAAATATAAAGTAACCATTTCCCCTTTACTAAAGGCTATTACCAACAGTGTTGAGTTTCACATTATACCTTCCATATCTGCACTCTGTCAGCTTTTCATTTACCTGAAAGGATATCCAAACTGCACAGTAATAGCAGTTGTCTCCTTGGGAGGCTTGGTGCATTTCACAGTAGCCCCTGTTTCTGCACTGAAAGAACCACAGGCTCCAAAGGCAAAAATGGCAAAGAGCTGAAGAGAAAGGGGAGAGGAGTTTAGAATTAAATCTGTAAACAAGCAATAGGAAAAAGGCAACATATTGAGCTTTACCAACCCCTGTGAACAATCCCAAGACCGTACAGATTGCATACTACCAAGGTTTATAATGGCCCAGTGTTTTTAATAAAACCACATCAATCATCAATGCACATCAACCACTGAAGAAACAATTTGCAAGCAATACACACGCCTGATCAATTTTTAAAAAACTGCATATTTTCTTGGATAGATTTAAAAAATCTTGAAAGAAAGAAAAGAAATAGCTTGTGGGAAGCCAACACTGCAGAAAAAAATAACTAGGTTTATACTCAATTTCTATAAGAAAAAAAGCATCAAATTTAAAAAAAGAACAATGTATGTCTTGCTTTTTTGCAGGATAGTAAGCAGTATTAGAATCCTTAGATATAACCAATAGCTTTTAAAAAAGCATCTGTCAGAAAAGTAACTGAAATAATTCCATCAACTTCAATAGAAAGCTAAATGGTTTGACTAAAGTCTGCCCATAAATATGGGACAAACAACAATTATGCCACATATATCAAAAATATTTTGTTTCAATATAAATTGCCTGAAGCTACATAAAATCAATCCCCGCCCAAAAAGTGAAATCCACAGTGTAAGAATGCACTTGAAGCTGATAGATTTATTCATTTTAAACACACCATTCCATTCAGAGATATGCATTACGTTTGTAATAGGCAAAACTCAGCAAAAGCTGTAGAAAGTCAAGACTAATAGGCATACTGTATAAAAGCAGATGCTAGTGTTGGAAGAGACCAAAATTAAATTTTAGTCTGCTCTTGCTACGTATAAACTTCGCTTATGATCACATCAGCACTGCCAAGCTTATCTCCCTTTGCATAGGTTAGAGAATACAAGAGGATACAGCTAATGAAAATGGTCAGTTTAGATTTGGGCCATATATAACAATGCACTAGATATCAAGAAAAGCTAAATCAAGAGGATTCTTCAAGCACTGTGGTAGGTCAGATAAAAATGAATGAGGGGGAAAAAAAGGATTTGCCAGTTGAACAAAAAACTGTTACATTTACCATTAGCCTCAACTCGCTTACACATATGCATATATAGCAATATGGGCCATGCAAGACCTGGTAAGACATCCTGGCTGGGTTCAACTTTGAACAACAAAGCAACAACAAAAGAGCCTAAATCAGACACTGGTCCCTGGTTTGAAAGACCCCCTTGGCTGAGCCTGAGACTAACATCCAGCCAAAACAGGACCAACCAAAATCCAACTATTCAGCTATTATAATGAAGGCTGCACTGTACTCCCTATGGGTTTCCATAAGCTCAGCTAGGAAAACCGATGAAAGCTAGCAGATGTGCTGCTTAAATACCACTATGACTGAAGAACTTCAGAATTAGTTGTGTCTATGTAAGTGCAGAGAAATGTGAGTGATACAAGAAAGAGGGTAAAAGAAAGGAGTAAAAGAAAGGTTTTGTCATGATGTGTAGCATTTAGATGGAACTAAAAGTAACAGTTGCAACAAAATTATAATATAAACAGCTCAGAAAAAGGCGACTGTATCTGTCAGACTCTCATTTTCCCCCCTATCCTAATAAAGCAGGTACAGGTAGTCCTTGATTTACAACCACAATTGAGCCCAAAATTTCTGTTGCTAAATGAGACATTTGTTAAGTGGGTTTTGCCCCACTTTATGACCTTTCTTGCCACAGTTGTTAAGTGAATCACTGCAGTTGTTAAGTTAGTAACCCAGTTAGTAAGTGAATCTGGCTTCCCCACTGGTTTTGCTTGGAGGAGATTGCAAAATGTGATCACATGACCCCCCCAGGACACTTTAACCATCATAAATACAAATCAATTGCCAAGTGTCTGGATGTTGACCACATGACGATGGGGATGCAGCATCAATGGTCATGAGTGTGACAAATGGTCATAAGTCACTTTTCCGTTGTAACTTTGAATGGTCACTAAATGAACTGTTGTAAGTGAAGGACCACCTGTGTCTTGATTTAATAAACTTTATCCAGACATGTTTACTGGCAGCCAATACTGACTTTCCTTTCATGAGCTCCAGTACTCCATGAAATCTGTCATTACTATTTGCAATTCCAGGTTTTGCATAACAGCTGATGACAGCACTAGGGTTCTCAACCCTACTTTTGCATCAGGGGAAGAATCAGGCTCAAACTCTGAGCAGGACTGACTTATCCCAAAGCAACTGTTTAAGTGCTGACTTCTATGAATTTAGAGCCAACTCTATATTTTCTATCTGTATAGAAAAAAAAGAACTAGCATGGTTCTCAAGTATTTTGCTAGATGTGAAACATATAATTGAAAAAAAGCTTCTACATATATAGCAGGGTTAGTCAACCTTTTTATACCTACCGCCCACTTTTGTATCTCTGTTAGTAGTAAAGTTTTCTCTAATCGCCCACCGGTTCCACAGTAATGGTGATTTATAAAGTAGGGGACAAAACCCCTACCGCCCACCATGAAAGCTGGAATGCCCACTAGTGGGCGGTAGGGACCAGGTTGACTACCACGGATATATAGAAAATTCTGTATTCAGAAAATACTATCCGTACCACTGCAGGCTGTGTGTGTAGCCACATGTCATGAAAAATATCTCTGTGTACTCAAGGCAAGAAAACATGAAAAATCTGGTTTGGGCTCTTCAGTAGTTAACACTTCCCAAGCTAAGACATTATCATTGAATGAAATGGATAGATCTGGCAGGACAAAAGAATCCTTTCAAGATACAGTGACTATGACTTTTACTAAGGAGCTTTGTCATTAGAACTTTCTTGCTTTTTTAACCATGCTAATTTTAGCCTACATTCTAAAAGGGAAGCTTCTTGACATGATTGATATAATGTCTTATCACAATGCTAAAATTGTAAAGAGAAGTGAAAATGCTTAAGACCTTGTCAGGCAATTACACAGCATAATAAAAAAATATGAAGGGTCAATTGCAGACTGTGAAAGAACCCTATGCACATATTTAAAACAATAAAAGATGACACAAACTACTACTTATATTGCATAACCTAATGTCTTGAAGTATAATGGAAGGCTACTTGTGCCATTCGTCATAAGACTTTAGAGCAACATTATTCTCATGATCCAGTGCTTTAAGCAGTCACTCAATGCACAAAATTGCCACAACCAGAATCTTCATATAGCAATTCATATTGCTGTCCTCAAGCCATGCATCATGCAAAGACAAGTCCTTGCCATTTACCAGGGGACCCACTTGCATTATCTTTAAAGTACGTGAGATGTGTTTTCATAGAAGTTTAAACTCATCCAAATCTGCTGCACACTTAGACAGAATGCTGTTAGTTCAGGTTTTTCCCCCCTTATCACTCAGTTCCTCCCTGGTTCTTTTCAGAGTCTGAACCTGTATTGGACACCCTTTGTGTTGGAATCATTAACTACATGATTTTGACAAAATGTATTCTTCATGTTTAAGTAATACCACTATTGTCTAAAGATAGAAAAAAAATGGTGGTACAGCATGTTATTCAATAACAGTGCTATATACGGATGTTTATAACATAAAACAGAATTTTGTAAAAAAAAAAAAAAAAGGAAGTGGGTTTTCTTTTTTTTTCTTTTTAAGAAACAGAAAGTCGATTTGGGTCCTTTAAGGCTTATTCTGTTTCTCTCTCTCCCATCCCCTAACTTTTGCATTAAAATGGGTAGAAATCTGAAAATGTCCCTAGGGATCAAATTGAAATTGAAATGCTCCTCTCCCTTGGAAAGAGACACACAAAAATACAGCGTTGGAGTGGAGCCTCCTGGCACTGGGTCTGTGCTGTGGACTAAATAAACCTAGAGCTTCTAATCTCCTCTTGGGAAGGCTGAGAAGAGAGAGAATTTGTGAGCTCAGGGACAAGTTAAGGCGTGGTATGTGCAGAATCAGAGCTCCAAAAAGGTTAAACCCGCCTGAGTGAAATGTGAGCGCAGCTCGCCACTGTTCCCATACATACCCCAAGTCCACAAATCCAGACTCCTTTGCACATAGATGGACTGCCCGAGGAGGCACTCCCCTCCACCTCAACCGGCTCCTGCACACAACCCAGGTCCAATTTCCCAGCCTCGTGTGGCCCCTTTCCTTGATGAAACTTCACCAAGGCAACAGTTTTAGCGCATTGTCATCCTTCCCTTCCAGGTTGGGGACCAGGTTGGGGTGGGGGGGAGGGTGGGGGGAGAAGGCAAAAGCAGAAAAGTTGCACACCGAAAAGAGCAAACTTACCCACTCCAGCACCTTAATGAATCCCAGGGGCTCCTCCAGGCGACCCCACCGTAGCCCCCCAAACAGCTGGGCCTGGCAAGGAAAGCAAAAAAAAAAAAAAAAGAGGCAAGGGGGTGGGAGAGAAACATGGGCAGGGATTTCAGGTCAGCCAGGAGGGAAAGCCAAGGGTGGGGAGGGCGGGGAGGGGGGAGAGGGAGAATTAGGAAAGGGCGTCAGAAAGTTGAGGGACAGTCAGAGACAGAAAGAAAGGCCAAGAGGCGGGAGAAAAGGGCCAGCGAAAGGAGCCCTACCACCAGGTTGGAGGACTCCTTGTCCGCCGCCGCGCTCTGGGCTCTGGATTCCGACATGCTCCGTGGAGAGCTGGTCGCCGCCGGGTCGAGCTCGGCTTCCTTGCCTCTCTGGCGCGTGGGCGGGGGAGTTATCCGGGCGAGGGGAGCCCGGGCTGGAGTTGGCGGCGCGAGCGGCTGCTCCCTCCTCCGCGGACCTGCGGCGAAAAAAAAAGCCCCGTCGGAACTCCTGTCAAAGTCGGCAAAAGAAGAGGGAGGCGCCCCGAGGCGACGGCGGGCGGGCGGGCGGGCTCGCCTCTTGCGCGCGCTTCGGCTCCTAGGCTGAAGCCGCTGAGGGGCGGGGCTCCCCTTGCCGCCGGCTCCGCCTCCCTCCGAAGGGGCGGACGGCCCAGGCGCCGGGCGTCTTTTTTCGCTCTCCGGAGGAAGGCAGGACGCGCCTCGCTCGCTCGCTCGGCTGCGGCGGCTAAGGATGTAAGTAAGGGGTCTGCGAAGGGAACATCGGTCCGAAGCATTTTAGTGCTGTGGGGGGAGGGAGCGCAGAGCTTGGCCAATGCAGTAAGGTGGGGGAGGGGTGGGGGTGGGGGAGGGAAGGGCCTTGTTTTCTTTCCTTTCATGCGAGTAAATGGATATTAAGTTTGAAGGGATGCGGGCACATTTACGACGCTGTTTGCAAAATCAAAGTAATCCTTGCGAGCACAGCTTGGTGGATGGGAAGATGCCTTTCTTCCCTTTCATATTAAAAAGGGCTGTTTGTGTTGCCTGACAGGGGTTGAGGGACGCGTATTTAATTTTATTATATTCTTGTGTCCCACCCCAAAAACGGGGAGATCTAATTGTAAACGATTGAGCTTGCATGAATGTCATTGTCTTGCTAAGGTCTCTAGTAGCACAAATGTACAATTCTATTTTTTTTCCACGCATAGGAAAACAATTATTTCCCATTCTTAAATTCTTCCTGTAAAACTTAGGCATGTCATTTACATAAGAATCATTGACATTGCTTCCAGTAGCTTATTACTTAATGTCTAAATACTTATTTTTTTTCCTATTTCAATCCTTTAATCAATTGGTGTATGCTCTCCACAATGAAGAGACATATTGTCCTGTGAATTATTTCCATTGGAAATTCTGCTAGTACCTGAAGGGTTTATTGTAGTCTGCTAAGTTTTATTGACTCTCTTTCCTATTTTAGTATCTTATATTGTACCTTCCTCTCAAATTTGGCATGATGAACAGTATAAAAACGTTTTAAATAAATTTGGACTGCTTTCACACTTAATAATTCATAAAAGTTTCATTCTTATAGATTTCTATCACTTCATCACATAAAGTCACTGAGAGTACAATCCAATGCTAAATACTTGAAAAGCTTCTGTTGGGTGCAACAGGCCTTATTCCCAGGTGCAGTATTTTACACTGGATTGCACTTTTCCAATTTCTATTTTAGAAAGAGAAGCATGAGCAATACAGGAAGTCCTAGTTTGGCGACTGCCTTGTTTAGTGACTGTTCACAGTTATGATGGTGATGAAAAAGTAGCTTTATGACCAATCCTCGCATTTACAACTTTTGCAGTTTAAGTTAGGTAAGATCATAAGAACATTTTCATTTAGTGACTGCTTTGCTTAATGACCAAGTTGTCAGTCACAATTGTAATAGCTAAACGAGAACTACTTGAATGCTGAAACTGTGAGACATGTTTTGGAGAGAAGATGCTTTGTGAAAAGTGCTCCCTTTGATTGCAAAGCATCTCATGGTTCCCACCAATGGAATTTCATTTTGAGAACAGTAAAGGCATGTGAGAGGCCAGAGCCTGGTGCCCCATATCCTATCTTTGTTATGATATACAGCAGGGGTTCAAACTCATGTCGTTATGGCGGCATCGTGTGATGTATCCGCACTTTTTTTCCTTTCACTAAACCGGGCGTGATTGTGGCCAGCACATGATGCTTCCAGCCCTGATATAAAGTACAGCTAAATGAATCGGGAGATGTGAACAAAGAAGAAACCATTAGACCTTTACAGGACATGATTTAGCTTGCAGTAGAGCTCTCTAACTGAGCACCTCTTCAGAACATTACAGATTCATTCTGACTGTGCAAAACAATTTATTGCAAACATCTGCAAAGGAATTACGTTTGATGTTTAGATAGAGATAGTGATGTCTTAGTATTTGATAAAACTTACTTTACATTCAGCTGAGGCAATATTATTAATGTGGAAGTTATACTTTTTTAACCCCAAAATCCTGTTGAAGTTAATAGCAATATCATGTTTTCCCCCTGCATCCAGAGCTGATGCATAGTGCTTTAGAAGAATACAGGATATAGGATCAGCATGCTTCTTCCCTTTGTTATCCCCACTCCCATCCTATCCACAGTTCCTTCACTTTGTAACCCTTTTACTGACAGTGGAATGTTTTTCTAGCATATCAGAGACATTCTGTGGGCTCCATAATAATTTATGTTTTGCCTGATAGTGGGGTTTCTACCCATTCTATATAGTTTTTCAGCTGGCTCTTGAGCATTAGACTGCACTTCAGACCTTTTGGCAATTAACTTCATAATGTCATGAAATCCAACACTTAACAAAGATTTAAAAACTGTTCCCCAAAACAAAGCAATTTCTTAAAGGTCACTAGTGGCTCCAAATTATAATCTTCTGTCAAGGAGAAGGTTTCCATTAGCTTTTGTTAAAGTTAGTCCACAGGAAATTAATATTCAAAAGATAATCCTGTCTCAATAAGCAAGATAAATTTGGAGCTCATAAAATACTGGACCTTTTTTATTTATTTTATTTTATTTTATTTGTCAATTGTTTACAAGATAATAAGTATAAGTGTATACATACCTTGTCCATTAAGGCTTTAAACATTAAAACTAGAAACGTGAATTATGTCTGGAAGCTTATTTTTAGCTCATAACATTTACTCATGTTCTATGCGAAGAGTCTCCTATGCCAATTAAAAGTCACTTGCTGTGTTTTAATCCATTTCCTAACATTTTAGATACTGTGTCATATGCAGGTCTGATATACAATGATATATTTATGTAATTATTAAGTCCGGAAAAAATATTTCCTTAAAAAAAAGTTTTAGTATTTTCTTTAATTTTGTGCTTAATGTAATGTACGAGCAAAGCTAATGTAGAGTTCTTGGTAGTCTCAGACCATGGTTGTTTGCTTGCAGGTGTTTCATTACCCAACTGCTTGCACTGATGATGTTATCTAGTTGGGTAATGAAACATCTGCAAATGAGCAACCAAGCTCAGAGCACCAAGAGCCCCACAATTCAGTCCCGAACGAAACATGTTTTCTTTTATTAAACTCAATAAAACTATTAAAGCCAATATTATTTGAGGTCTACTAAATTGTGATTGGTTATTATTTTTATTTTTCCAGATATCTTGAAACTAACTAGTAGTATACTTTTTTGGCTCTGTTTTCTTCTCATATGCTGTTTTAAATTATTTATTTTACAGTACTGATGCTACTGGTAGTATTTTAGTTTGGTCTTCAAAAGTTATTGTTAGCTATTCTGGGAATGTACTCCAAAAGTGAAATACAAATGCTCTAATCACAATACATAAAATAGCATGTGGGCCCTATGTTCTGTCTTTTAATCGCTGGCTGAATATAAAGAAAGTCAGATTAAACTCTACAAAGACTTCCATACAAAGTTTCTTTATTAGTTCACAAGGCATCCACAAATATAACTCACGGTTATGTCAAGATTCATCTAATGTCCAATTCTTTGCACAGCTGACTTCATAGTGTAAAATTATAGTGATCTTCATCCCATAACGATGGAACAAGGGGTGAGACACCAGCACGGTGCTGGGGTCCAAGCAAGAGTAAAGGAAACTCCCCCAACCCAACCAAGGGTCAATTCAATGACCAATCAGGATTACAGATGTGACCACATAACATGAACTACATTACCCATGATGCATTAACTACATTTACCATGAGGCATTCTCTTAAGGGGACAGCTCCAAATTCTAACTTAACTATCTCAATTCCCAATTACCTATATACTGTCTGGACAGCACACCCTACAAACATATGTTATGTTCACACATATTAATCACAGCTGTTAAACTACAACATAAATAGTATGAGATTAAAATATTAATATGGATAGGAATTAGCTCCACCCATTTTCACATCTGGAAGGACACACCTGCATGCTTTCTCTAGTTATCCATGTATTCAGCACAACCCATATGGTTTCAAATTCAGTTTCATAAATCACACATATGATATGGTCCTCATTTCTAGAAGTGAGCATTCAGCTGGGGGATTCAGGGACATACAAATCTATTCCTTATGTAGTTCCTTAGCCAAGAAAGGTATCAGTATTTCTAGATAGTTCTCCTTTGCTTGATTTTTTTCTTTAGCTTTTAATAGCCATACAGATGTTCCAAAGGTACTTTTTCAGGAAGCAACTGCACTTTCTTGTTTTTTCTTTTGAAGACATTTCACTTCTCATCCAAGAAACTTCTTCAGCTCTGATAGGATAGTGGAGAATGGAAGGATTTTCCTATCAGAACTGAAGAAGCTTCTTGGATGAGAAGCGAAACATCTTCAAAATTAAAAACAAGAAAGTCCAGTTGCCTCCTGAAAAAGGACATTTGGGACAACCATGTCCTGGATGATTGAGGATCTCTATAGACTTTTAGCCATACAGATTGATAAGAGATTCTGAAGTACTGCTATTTTTTATCACAGGTGATAGAACAATGGTATTAATGTGATACAATTTTCTAGGTAAAATAATTTAAATGAAAATATATTAGATAATTATATAGGTTTTCAATGTGCATTTGATCTGCTGTTTGGCTGATGCAAAGTCATTTGTCTATTAAGAACAGCATCTTTTTCCACAAGTCCCATGAGTATTAAGTTTATGTTTATTTTATCTAAAAACTAATTTTTGATAAGAAATTGATATTGACAAATATTTAAGGAGAATAAAATTGCATTTTAATACAATACAAAACTTAAATTATGTCTAGATATACAAGTCTAAATTCCAAGCAGTTAATATTTACATTCCCATAATGTCCTTACAAATTTTCTTACAGTTAGTTTTGAATCCATTCATTAAAAAAAATGTATTTAACCCTAAAACATTTGCCTAAGA